AACAGAGCTGTAATTAAAACTAAATAAAACCTGTAGTGAATCATTCGGTACACACTCGGACCCCGGTGTATGTAAAAATAGAAAATTTTGAAAAATCTTTTTTTAACTTGGTTCCGACAGTTCCCAAAGATATTCGATATTTTCTGATAATTGTTGGTTTAAAATACCTACATATGTATATTGACTTTTGGTTTTATAAATGCCTGCTTAACTGATGTCTAAAAATAATACTTATAAATAATTCAATAAATGCAGAAATTAATTCATTCTTTTCAGCATCTCCATGTTAAATATTCATCTCGAGTTAATTCGAAAAAAAGTTTTTTGTTTCAAAAAATAGGTAATTTCAACTAATGTAAATTCGAAAAATTAATCATCAATGAATCTAATTTTATTGTTCGGATAAAACTTTTGAAAAATATATTTAGACCGTCTAGTCGAAGGTGCACTTGTTATTTCATTAGAATTTTATAGTGGATTTATTATAGCCCGAAACAATTTTGGACCATAAACTCGTAAGAACTCGATAAGTTTTCGAACAATTAGATAGAGTGTATAAAAAAAGATTAAATTGGTGTTACTACTAAAATATTTTTATTATTGACGATCGCGGTCATAGGAACTCCCAAAATTACTTTACGCAAATGACTCCAGACGTAAATATTTACCCAAGACGGTGCAATTGACGATAAAAAGTGTGGAGGAAAATAAGAATCTCCATCTGCACGATTTACACCCTCTTCAAATGTTTTACTTATAGCACGTTCAGGCTAACTTAGCGATAACGTCACGCGCATAAACATTAAAGTTATTTGATGCAAGGTATATTTTCACATAAAATAAGGAAGCAGAAAAATACAAACATTTTTTCGACTCGGTATTTATCGATTCCGAGAGATCGCTATCGTCGAGGATTTATGTGAACGGCGTGCGCTGGCATTTCATAATTTTCGGATGCCTACTGTTTGAAGAGAAGATGGTGCACGACAGGAACAGGTTTTTCGGAATTTTTTTAAACCGATTCTATTGTGATATATGTGAAAACGATCCACTTACTCTATACCTGAAACAAGCCCAGGCCGGTGCTGCCGAGGGTTCAAAATGAGCCACTATTGTTTCTGAAATATTACTTTCTTCGTACGAATTTACTATAGGCTGAGTAAGTAAGGAGATAGGAAATTCAGTTTTTAAATGTATCAAACAGATGCAACTGCAGCATATTTTGCACCGCACATGTGCCTATATCTGGTATTTAAATATATTTATATAAAAATATCCAAGCGATTAAAAGAAACATGTAGGTTGATGACACAATAACTTATAAAATATTAAGTTCCAGTTCCCATAAAAGATAAGTTAATAATTCATGTAGCAATGAGATCGAAACCTTTGGTTCAGTTGTGGGAATTGGTAAAAAAATAAGTAGATTTGCATATATTAATATCTCTTCTATATTGGAAACGGTTCCAAATTTAGAGTAAGGAAGTGTTGAGGATTGCTTTTAACGTAATAAACCCGCCTATAAAACGACAATTAAAAAATTAAGTGCTACTCGCAATTACATATTTTGTGTACACAAAATGGGGTTCGATGATCTCTACAATGGCCAAAAAAACCATACGCAATTGTAATTCACAATAGGAAGAACTTTTACGAGTTTCCGCCTTTCGATTTGCATATACGATTATTAATTCATTGATATTTTAGTTTTACTGTTTTAAACGATCACACATGTAGAAAAATTTGCCGATATTTACATCGCAAACGCAAAGTTATACGTATTCTCTTTCTTTGAGAAAACACGAAATAGTAGTAAATATCTATATTTAAATTAATACTAAGGAGTAATTCCGCGATTTACGAGCCCAGAATTTAAAATCGAATTAAAAAAAATGGAAAATCAAAACAAACAACGGTAAAATTGGAACATGCTAATAAATTTCGGAAATATCGCACGTGGTAATAACTGTATACTTCCACAATACGATTGGCTTAAAAATAGACATTTCAAATCGATTCGCCGTTTGCAAGTTAAATATCCAAATTTTAGATCTAATTTTAATCGCGTACCTTTCAATAAACATTTAATTAATTTGTTTTAAATTGTATACGTTACCTATTTAACTGGATCGTCTGCGATATAAAACGGTCTAGAAATTAATAAAAATTTAACATTCAAATTAAGCCCAAACCGATGACAATGACCTGTTCCAATTAGCATTGGTCTCGTCTTATTAACATTCGCACAAACAAAAATAGTACGAAATACGAATAGAGCAAATATCAAAAATAACGAGACGACTGTAACGGAAGAAATTGCCAAATTTATTAATCCTAATTGTTATGGTGTCGTTGGTCTTGTGTTTTATTTTTTTAATTGACTAAGGTTTATTGTAAATAAATATACATATTACTCAATTTTGCCTGGTGAAATATTGCAGTTCGGAATGAAAAATTATTTTTAAATACCAGGAGTTTAAAGAGGAGGACCATGGTAAGTAAAATGACTGGGATATAGTAAAATTCGACTAGATATGGTAAGTTTTGTACCACCCAAAATTTACTGGTACCCTATTTGATTGGGTATATGGACAAATGAAAATGGAACACCTGATATTATGTAAGTTTCGGCACGACCTTCAAAATCGGGTTAGCAAAAATTGATCACTGTTTACATTAACAATCCAATAAATAGCTTACAGTTACATTAAACAGAATTGCTGATTTTTTAAATCGACGGTCGTTAGCCCTGTTCGTTAAATCCAAATCCGACAGTATCCGTCTTATTTAGAACTAATCGTAAATTTTAAATATTGGTCAAATTAAAAAAAATATATTGATTTCGAACGTTTCGACATTTATTACCCAAATTCATCACTATAAAAGCGACACTAAATTTAGAGCACTCGCAAATGTTCGTATGATTTTTCCCCCCTTCATTAGTTAACGAGACTAAATTAATTTGAAATTAAATTGCATTTTTTACGGCGCTCGTAAAACGCGCAACTTAAACGTCGATGGAAATTGTTTTTCGTTAACTTCTTTATTCGCTCCGTTTTGTCGGCGAAAATTTCAGCCGAAAATAACCAAATAAACGACCTTCAAAGCAGCAGAACAATAGGAGGAATTTACAAAAAATGGCACCGATAAATCAAAAATTACCTGTCAATATCAATGTCACAGAACCCCAATATTAATTTTTTTGGGTGTTTTAATATATAAAATATTAAAATTTTTAGTTCGTATTTTTTGTTTCATTCGAATCGAAATACCTGCATTAATTAATTATAAATAAATCAAAAAAATGTAGTAATAAAGCTGGAATCGTTGCCAAAATATAATAAATCAGCGACAGTTCTGGCGTATAAAACGAGCGAATTTTCGCCTACAATTCAAAATTTTCATTAAGCACACAAATTCCTAAATAAAAAAGAACCAATCGATAAATTAATCCAGCGATAAACACCGTAATTAACGCCAAAGGTCAAAATTGCGATTAAATCCGACTTACCCGAAAAAACTCTCAATTTCCACCGAACGAAAAAAAAAACCAAGCAACCAGCGAATCGGGTCCCAAACGGTACTTTTTCTACCACTACGGCGCCTTTCCCGAGCGTCGCGTCGGCGTGGAAGCAGCGCGCGAAAATCCGTGGAAAACCAGCCGGCGAGCGGGCACGTTTTCTCGCGAAAGATGCCAAGAGGTAGAGGTACAAAACACACACACGCGCGGCGCGTTATCCGCTCGAACGCCGGTCGACGACTAACTAAAAACTGCGTAAGCCGATCGGCGGAGGCCGAGTTAGCTTAGCTAGGTAATAGAAGTTGCGGCGAAGCGCGCTTGTCGAAGAGGCGAAACTTTTTTTTTTTCGAGGACTTGCCGGAACGGCGGGGCTCTGGGCGCGTCTCGACGGCTCTCCGGAGGCTGCGGAACTGGCGGCGGCGCCCGTCCGGGATGGTCCTATAAAGGAAGCTCGATTAGCCGTGTTTATTGAACGAAACAATCAATCGTAAACATCGTTCGCGGATTGTTTTCTACGGTGTTTGTTTATCTACGAGGATTTTTTCCGATTCGAAAACAACCGAATGAAAATTGAAATTGAATACACAGTTTACTTTATTGTCAAAAACAATCCAGCTGTTCGTAAAGGTGATACATGGCTTCTGGTGGTACATTTAATTTCTTATATTAATCTGTTATGAAAACATTTTGATAAATTATAAAACAACTAAATTTAATTGCGAAAAACTTTACATCAATATTTCTTATCAAGAAATGTCGCTTTACCAAACCTAAGACTTTGTGCGAAAGAGGTTTAATTTCTAAAATTTTAACATGGACAATTCAAGTGCTACTTCAAACTGTATTGTTAAATGAGAATTATATGACAAGAAAATAAATAACGTTTTTTAAGCAATCACAATTCCATTTGCAGAGATTTTGAGATTGCATGAAGACTAATTTCAAACGACTCTAAATGCACATGATTATAGTATCTCATCCGTCTTTTCTTCATTGTAAATGAGGCAATTACGGCGTGATGATGAGAAATGAGAGTTCTTTGTCGCTCGTTTAAGCTACTTAACTAGTTTAAAAATCGAAGCGAAACATTTAACAGAGACATTATTGAAAGGAATCATTTTTCAATATTAACTAATTTCGGCGGATTTGTCGGCTTAAAGCAGTTTAATAAACGGTAATTTATTTAAACGCCATTAATCATCGAATTGCCACTGTTCGGGTTATAAATCGAATATAGATTGGATGTCAGTATTCGATAATCAAAAAATGTCAGTCGGTCAATCACAAACGTCTTTAACATTCATCCATTATTAGTTAGTAAATAAAATTTTAGTTCTTGATTTATTAGATAGAAATTCGTCCGCCAGAAATTCAAAATAAACAGTTCTTATGCAACCAATTTTACTTTACACTTTAACACGGTCACCAAATTCTTGCATAATATCTACCTGTATTATCTATCATTAGTAAAATAAATGAATTATTATTTTAAACCAATTTTATTGTTAAATTTTTCTATAATCTGTGTATTTTTAAAACAATTAGCATTATCAATCGGTGTCAAATTTCACATCAACCATACGGCGGTCACTGATTTGATGGGCCACCCATTCCACCACCCATTCCGCCGCTCATGCTCATCCCACCGGACCCACCACCATTTGGCCCGCCACTTGGTCCCCCGGGCATGCCCATTCCTCCGGACCCACCAACATTTCCACCCATACCGCCACTCATTCCACCAGGACCAGCTCCCATACCTCCCGGAGCTTGGCTATACACTGAATGGAACTATAATCATAGAAGACAAAAAAATCACAAAAAGTATATAAACAAATAAATAGAAGTAAAAAATGGGTAAAAATGACATTTTAGAATAACGAAAAATATGTACTTACTTTTTTGAGTTTCATTTTTAAAATAAAAATAATTTATTAGTACTTACTGTTAGGAGTTACTAAATTATGTAATACTTACACAAAAGAGAGCCAAGGTGGCAATAATGATTGTTGCTTTACCGAACATTTTTGACGAATATGTTAAATTATTGTGATTTTACGGTATATAAATGTTTCAAAAATAATAAAATTGTGCACCATTAATTTGTCATGTTAAATTAAATTAAGTAATTGCTGTATATTAACTTCAGAGAGGTATTAATAATAATCATTATTCCATAAAATACTTGTTAATTCAATTTTGCTTAGAAGAATAATACAAATCTACTCACTACGGCACTGGCAAAAAGTATTTTAGTATAATTTAGAAAAGTGCAATTTGTTGATCCAGGAAGCAAAATAATTTACATCAATAACCATAATAAATTATTAATGAATGCGCAATTATTTATTAGGTTTAAATTACCCAATTTTCTTAATAAGATCCAGCGAATCTACAATAAATATAGCCTGATTCGAAATTCAACCTTTCCTGCGACGACTATGTGCTTCGTGATCTATGTGATCCAGTTTTGTTAGACCGTGTACTAGATGGCGGATTAACATATCGAACATCATATCGCAAATTTACCTTATACTTACGGAGGTAAATTTTGCAAAAGCGTCCTCCAGCTCCTTGGAGTTGTTGGACCCTGCTGGTTGTATCAGCAAGCGATTCTACGACTCGCTGTCGATCCGAAAAAGCCGTTCTTTTGGTTTTGAGGGGGCTGAAAGAATATATAACTGATGACTTTTAACTGGTAGGAATAAGGAAAATGGGTCACGGAATATCTCTCTAGGGAATAACTAGGCTAAATTAGGCTAAATTAGGTTTAACTATTCAACTAACTACTTAAGCCTACTTAAATTGTTCGGTCACACCGAACACACTTAAGGATTGCTTCGGCAGTAGTACTACTAGGTAAGGAATGGGTGGTCGTGTGTGTTATCAGGCATGATCATTCCTGGATCGACTGAGACTCGCAGAAAGCTGGATGGTACAACCAGTGGAATATAATCCAAACATAATTTCTACCATCAGAAGACTTATTGTGGCAAAGACTTGTGGGTAAAGGCCTTGTGACCAAGATTCAAGTTTACTGGAAATCCATTAAACTTTTGATCAAGCGTTGGTCGATTTCTAATTGTTAAAATGCTTCAATTTAATGATTCTAATTAATGGAATTATTATCGGTAAACATATCAATTTTGTTGCAAAATAAATCGCTCATCAGGTCGTGATTTGTTGCATTTTGCGATATAGGAAATGATAATTATCATAGATCTATTGTCATTGCGACAATAGAAAAAATAAATTACCTCGAAGCTCATTTTCCACACAGTGATTCTCATTAATGAAAAAATGCCGTCTGATAAATTGGGCCACATAAGATTTTATCGCCGTATCCCAATAATGATGGTCGATGAAAATCGTACGGGTACTGTTAGCTCAGTTGATTGCCTTTATCTATTTTAAACAGTACTGTTTTTTTTGCTTATTCAAATGAATAAAATATTACTGGCCGGTTTGGCGCTGTTTAGTTTAAATATCGCTAATTGTGTAAGTATCAAGTTAAAATTAATTTTACTGAAACCGCATTGATTGTAAGTACCCATTATATGTAATTATTTTAATTGTATAAATGATGTACTTACCCTTCATATCGCCAGGAATTCAACTCATCGTCCTATTAATAACTAATATCCTGTAAAATAGAGAAATTAACAAATTAATAAGAGCTAATGATATGTACATATTTTTTACAAATATATTAATTTAGTTTTAATTTATGGAAAAGTTATTTAAATTCTATCACAAATTAATTTTAGAAAATTGCTTTATAACGGTAAAAAATTCGTACAACTATCAGGAAGTGCTTATTTTACTATTTTTTTTGGCATTATCAATATCGAAACATTACTAAATAAAATTTAACTACAATATTTTCAGGAATCAACCATTTTTCATGTCCAAGACCAAAAAAATACCCGATCATGTTTATGGATAATCATAAGGCAAAGGCCTCCATTACCACCTCCACCGCCTCCGCCTGATTCTAACAATACAGCAGGTTAGTAGAGTATTCTCCTATTGGAATTATTCTATTATATAATTATTTCTTTTGTGTCTTCATTTAGGTCAAACTCCTCCAGTTATTACCCCAAATATGGCGCCGGCCTCCACAAATGCAGCACCTCCTAGTCCAGCGCCTGCGACATCCAGTAGTACTACATCCCCAGCTGGCTCATCTGAAGCACCACCTGCAACAGCCAGTGCTGCTGCATCTGCAACAACAGCCAGTACTGCTGCATCTGCAACAACAGCCAGTACTGCTGCACCTGAAACGAGCTCTGCAGCTCAAGCTCAAGCAGAAGAAACTACACCTTCAGCTAAGTAATCATTTTAAGAAAGGGGTTGAATCGTTTTTAGTAATAGGTGATAAGTTTTATAATTATTTAATATACCGGTAATGTTTCGTGTTGAATTTAATTAAGTAGGTGTTTTATGAACAATATATTTATGTAATTTGATAAATAAATTATTATATTTACCTGGTTTTTTAATCCTAAATAAATATTAAAATTGACTCAAAAAATAATTACAGATTTGAATTTTTGACATGTACGTTTGACAGATGACATAATTATATGTCAATATCAAATTATTTTAACACAAAATTCTACTTGCAATTTTCAATTTTTTTACATTTCTCAATTCATTTACAAGTTATACAAAGTATTTTAGATTCGTTCAAATACCTCATTGGAATATCCAAAATAAGTGTAAAATTGGTTGCCTACCGTTAAGAGTAGGGTGGTTGAGAGCGCTGCCGTAAGAACTACCAGTAGCTCGGATGTCAATAATGTCATTATTGAAGACAGTTTGTTGTCATATAAACGTAAAATGGCAGTCGCTATGGGAGTGTGATTGTGGTGCATCTGTGTTGAAATTCAAAGATAAACTATCATTTTTGTCACGGTTAAGTGTTTTTAGTCGTCGGAAAATGAGCATTGGATTATTATCTGCAGGTGAGTACGGTTCGCTTGGTATTTCCCGAAAATCTCGTTTTAAAAATTTCGCATTTTTTTCGTTTAATTTTTAGTGGTTATTTGGGTTTGTTTACTTTTCGCCGATCATTTAGGTGTACTATTCGAATATGATTTGTTTTAGTGCTTTTTTAATTGCATCGTAAAATTTCAACGAGTTTTAATCTAATAGCATGAGTAAGAAGAATTTACTTGTCAATTAGCTGTTGGTCTCTTAAATGTTTTGATTTTAAATTCATCAACTTCTGATTAATTTGGTGATTATTTTGCTAACTCCAGACGAAATTATGTATTATTTATAGCTCGTATTTACTTTGGAGACAACTTTTTGTATTTGTATTAATAATTTTGGACAAACTTTGGGTCAGTATACACTATTTTTTTATTAACTTGATGAAGTCTCATTAATCATGTTATTTATAATGAATCGCCTTGAACTTGGTATAAAATTATATGGAGGATGATAATTATATAAGTTTTTATATAATTTAACTCCTTCGCTCTTCGAAACGCTATAATTAAATAGTGTATTGTTTGATTAGGTCTGTGAAACTTATTTTAATTTTTTACTCTTTCCTACATCCTTTTACAAATACATTATGATCTGTAAGTAATATTACCTTCATCCAATTTCTATCCGAGATAATAGTCCGTGAATTATCATTAAACGATTGAACTTTCACCGAACGTACAATACGTACAGTTTCCAATTAAATTCGGCATTGAAAACGTGAAATGTCAATGCACGTTCTTAATAACACCTAGGTCGTGGTTGAGGTTGGAGCCTTTAGATATCTCTTAATAGATCCACAATTGAAATCGATAGGTAAGTACATTCATAGAAAGTGACAGGATATTCGTTTCTAATTTTTAAGGTGTGTTTTTCTTTCGAATGGAAGTATTTAAACTGTTGATTGCTATATCAAGGCTGTAGATGTTTGTGTACAAGTAAAATTCAGTTTGTCGTAAATAATTTGAAAATAAAAACACCGTCCTGGATTTTGGAAGTTTACTGTTAGCCAGTTGGCGTCCACCACGCCAATTGGTGCCAATTGGTGTGTATTATACCACGCAGTTTATGAATGTTATAGGCAGTGTATTATTAACTAATTTAGGAGAATTTAACGGGAATATTATGGAAATTGTTGACATTAAAAACGCGGTGTCTTTTTTATGCTTTGTAACAACACAAATTCCACTTTCGAATAGTATACTTCATACATTCAACTCGGTTTCTCATCAACATATTTTGAATACCGACACTTTCATCAAGCCATTGACGAAGCAACCCCCTATTTAAAATTCGTCTCACCCTTGAAAATTCGCTTTCCGTGCAGCAGAATGCGCCCCCTACCCTTTCCGTGGCTCCCCGGGGACTCGTCCCTTGTCTCTGCTCATTCTAAAAAAAAGGGCTTTCCCGTTGGCTGTCGGAATTTAGCCTTGGGCGTCAGGGCGCATTACTCGCGACAAGTTGGGCAAAAGTAGGGAGAAATTCGATATAAAATCCTCTCGCGAAAAAACATGCAATAAAATACTCTTATTATTTAATTTCTCTTCATCAACATCCTTTGCACGTAAAGGCGTACGGAAACGAAAACGAAATCCCTCGTCTATTTGATCAATTTTCACGGCGTGGCGTCGGAAATCCGATAAAATAAACTCTCGAGTTTAGGATACGATGCAGTAAACGGTAATTTTTCAATCTTAGATGCGCCAATTGCGGACGTTCGAAAAATGAAATATTATTTCCTATGTCGAAGGGGAGGATTTGAGTAGTTCCTTCTTGTCCACGCACATACAAATTTCCAATAAACCATTACGAATCATCCTCGTCTTCCTAGTAAAGCCATGTTTACCAAAACACCGATTAATTGACTAACAAAAATTGTTATTTATCCATCTACAGCATGAATTATTTCGTGTACTTCTCGATAAATCGAGTCACAACGACTGATTGTTTTCGTATCGTTCACCTCCGCACATGGTGATTCTCGATTCGAATAAATCAATGGACTCCTTTTAATCATCCTGTTGATAATCCTCCGCAGTTAATTCGTTTTCGCTCGATATGCTAATTCATTCGACGGTTATGCATGTATTAAGGAATTTATATCACTTGTAAAAGGCTGTCGTGTATACTTTGTTGCAATTTGTTGCCATAATAAAGTAACTTAATGGTTAATCGCAGCGTAATATCCCTCAAAGACCCTTTACATTATGTCCCGCATCTTTTATGGATACATAATAGAAGGTAAACGGGGTTGATTAATGAATAGGGACAATGTATACTGCATTTTTTATAGAAAACTCCTACTTGCTGTACCTTATTAGACTTACGAGTAAAAAGTCGTCAGAAGTTATTACACATAAATATCGTTTTAATTGATATAACGACTATGAATCATATCTGAAAGGTACAGATGAAAACAACACAATTTACGATCGGCAGTAACTTTAATTTATAATAATTGTACGAACGAGTTTTTAATTAATCAATTGCCTTACGCAATTCACCAATTATTGTTGTATTTCATTCAGATTAGCAGGATATTGCTTGCTCGAGAGCAGCAGTAAAATATCAATTTGTCAAGGAAACGAAGTAACTCGATATCTGCAAGATTTATTGAAATCTATAAATTCGAACAGAAAAATTCTAATATTTTTAACTAATGTAATAAACTGGAGCTTGCAAGGCCATATAATTTCGATATATTTGCGGACAAACTAAAAACAGAAAAGTATTGAGTAATAAACGAAATGTGAAAGTGTTCGGTCACCTAAAGAAAAGTTTTTACTCGCTTGATTTGTATTTGGAAACGAAATTTCTAACTACTTCACCGATCGGACTGGTTTTAATTTATTATTATGATATACGAGTTGACGCGGCTTTTACTTCTTTCTGTATTTTTAGTTTTATTGTAAACGTTTTGAATACTTACATTTTTTATGTTTTGTACTGACACGCGTTTCTATCTCGCCCGCTATAAATAAGCTTTAAAATTTTATATGCTTTAACCTCCGAGAGACGTTAATGTCGGAGCATTCTAATAGGGAAGTGCTGCAACCGTAAATATTTTTCTTAACAGAAGGAACTAATGATCGATTGCAATCGTTATGAATTTGTTCAGTGACCTTTTTTAGTCTATTAACTTACATAAGGATTCACGCGTTTATTTCTTCCTTATTAACGTTTCGTGTTCTTTGCATTTTTCTTTTAATAAATAACATTACTTACACCTACTTTTTAGTTTTGTTGTTAAAACTAACCAGGATGTAAGGTGGTGTTTTTGACGCGTGCATGTGCATCAAATAGCGATTTTAATTGGCCATTTTCGATTCGAAATTAATTTCTCTTCCATTGAGCTCCATTCGGTCTCTCGCTCGCCATATTGTCTATTTGTACCGAGCGATATCATCTCGCATTCAAAATGTTCTTTTCTGAATAGAATTTCATAACAAAGAACCGATAAATCCTCGAATGCAAAACAAACGCAACTTAAACCGAACGAGGCGAAATAATTTATCCATTCTAAACGCTCGAATTGTAGATTATTTGTATGCATTGCACTTGCTGCTGAATTAACCATAGAATTTACGCTAAATGCAGGTTTTAATAGAGAGTTTTTGATTGAAAATTGACCTATTTGAGAATAGGGGCATTTGATATAACATCAAAATAATTTAACAACCTCTGTTATGAATAATTGTAATATGTGAAAGATCGTTTCGTAGGTCAGTAACATCGAGGTTTAGATTTGTATTTGCAATGCCAATATGTTTTAACACCTTCATGTTTGATTTCGGTATTTATGTATGTATGCTAGGAATGTTTTAAAAATCGTTTTGTTTGTGCGAAATACATATTTGAACATTGAGAAGCGAAAGCAAATAGGTACAAGTGGTAGTGCATGAATTTGGTCGCAATTAAAGGGTGTTCGAATGTTGATTTCAAAATATTTTTAAAATACGACAGAGAAACAAACATTTTCGATTATTAATGGCCAATCTCTCCTCTCACTAAACGCTATTAAACCTTCGAAAAAAAAAAACACCTTAATGCATAGATTAAAAATAATCTAATAGGACCCATTTCGGTTTGAGCTTGGCTCGTGTTAATGTGAAGTATATCTTTGAGAATTTTCTAATTGCGCTCGAACTCCACTTTAAAACAAAAGCGTAAATTAGTTTAAGAGTTTAGGTTAACTGTAATCGTCCAGATAGCGTTTGTCAACAAACGTATTAACATAATAATGACATACTCGCTTTATAACGCGGACATCTGTTTTATTCCTTGTTTACACTTTATTATGTAAATGCCTCCTAGTCTGTATATCTCCGGCATTGTAAATACTGTAATATAATTAACAAAAAGTTTTCGGACTTTATATTCACTCCAGTTTATTTCGGGGCGACCGATGAACGAGGAAAAAAAACTGCACCAGTACTCGTACATTTCTCATCGTTCGTAAATCGGTCCGTTTG